TAGCTTGAAGGAGGGGAGGGACGGTCTCACGGTATTAATCACCAGACTATTAATTCAGAGACCGAGGTAATGTCCTGGGAACCCAAGTTCAAACCGTGCCATGGAATTAAGAGTCTAATGATGATCATGAAACCACAGTCAATTGTTGAAAAACCCATCCGGATCATTAAGTGTCTTTTAGGAAAGGAAACTGCTGTCCTTACCTGGTCTGGCTGACATGAATCTGCAGACCCACTACAATGTGATTGACTCAATTGCTCTCAGTCATTTAGGGATGGGCAATAAATGCTGGTCTAGCCAGCGATATCCACATCTCTTATAAAGTCATACAGCATGGAAACATACCCTTTGGTCCAACCCATCCATGCCAACCAAATTTCCCAAAATAAACCGGTCCCATTTGCCTGCATTTGGCCCTTATCCCTCTAAACCTTTCCTATTCATGTATCTGTCCAAACGTCTTTGAAACGTTGTGACTATACCTGCTTCCACCACTTCCTGCTTGCAGCACGTTCCACATACGAACCACCATCTGTGTGAAGAAGTTGCCCCTCAGGTCCCTTTTAAATCTTTTTCTTCTCACATTAAAATTATGCCCTTCAAAATTAGTTTTGAAGTCCCCAACCCGAAGGAAAAAGACATTGCTATTCACCTTATCTAAACCCCTCATGATTTTATAACCTCTGTAAGGTCACCCCTCAACCACCTATGCTCCAGTGAAAAAAATCCCAGCTTATGCAGCCTCTCCTTATATCTCAAATTCTCCATTCCTGGCAACATCCTGCCAAATTTTTTCTGAACCCTCTCCAATTTAGTTGTATCATTCCTAAAGCAGGGCAACCAGAACTGTACACAGTACTCCAAAAGAAGCCTCACCGATGTCCTGTACAACTTCATAGGTCGAGGCATTGAGTATAGGAATTGGGACATTATGTTACAGTTATACAAGTCATTGGTGAGGCCGCACTTGGAATATTGCGTACAGTTTTGGTCACCCTATTTTAGGAAAGACATAGTTAAACTGAAAAGTGCCAAAGAAGATTTATGAGGATGTTTCGAGGAATAGCAGGCCTGAGTTATAGGGAGAGGTTGGCCAGGACAGGACTTTATTCCTTGGAACGTAGGAGAATTAGGGGTGACCCTATTGAGGTCTATAAAATCATGAGGGGCATAGATAGGATGAATGCATATAGTCTTTTTCCCAGGGATGGGGAATTGAAAACTAGAGGGCATAGGTTTAAGGTGAGAAGGGCAAGATTTAAGGAGGACCTGAGGGGCAACTTCAACACGCACAGAGTGATGCGTAAATGGAATGGGCTGCTAGAGAAAGTGGTTGAGGTACAATGCAACGTTTAAAAAAAAATTTGGATAGGTACATGGATGGGAAGGGTTTAGAGGGATATGGACCAAATGTGGGAACCAGCTGAGTGGACACTATGGTCAGCATGGACCAGTTAGGGCCGAAGTGCCTGTTTCCATGCTGTATGACTCTAGGAGCGCAGAAGAATCCAGACTGAGCTTGTCACCAGGCTTTGCACAGACCACCTTTTCCAGTACGGACGTACTGGCCAACTCAATCAACACATGTGTAGACCCAACCATGATGGGCACACGAGAGCACTGCTCAAGCACTCAGACTACTGCATCATATTTTGATTGCAACATCAATTTTGTTTTATATATATGCTATCTACACTTAAGTAGGCTGCGATCAGAATCAGGAGTTTGTTGAAAAGTAACCTTTGTCATGCTATAGACATCCTCTAGTTCGACATGGCGGCTGAAATGTGGATGGCACAGTAAACTGCTCTAGAATGAGGATGCTGAGAGATTCTACCAGATGCTGGAAGCTTATTCAGCTGCACAAGGTTAAGAAAGAGTGTTAGTTGGAGCATTAAATTCCAAACTGAAAGCACTGTCGTTATATTAAACTACATGCCCTTATCAAATGCTGCCCATTTTATGAGGCAAAATTGGATGCAGAACACAAATAACCAAACACTAAGAGAAAAATTTCGCTGCCTACATCTAAAAAATTTAGATTGCAACAATTTTTTCTAAATTTAGCTTTTCAAATTGAAGCGACATATGGACACCTTTGGAGCCTTACCTCCTCCTCTTGCATTTGCAATTTCTGTTGAGCTTCCTGTAGCTCTCTCTGTTGCTCCTGCAATTGTTTTCCTTTCTCTGAAAGCGGCTCTTCTTGTTGTGCTGTGACTGTATTTTTTACTTTCAGCTTCCTCATTAGTGTTTTTGTATCCCCTTGTAACTTTTTAATAATTTAATGAGCCTGTTAAAAGTTGATAGAGGTTACAATTAAACATTTAGCAAGGCAATGACAATTCAAATACATTTTGGCTTACCTTGAATTAATAGGTAAACCAAGTCCAAACACACCTCACTAGATTACATGAGATAGTAGAAGCTGCCAATGCTAGAGAATCTGAGATAACAAGGTGTAGAGCTAGATGAACACAGCAGGGTCCAGACCCGAAACATCAGCTTTCCTGCTCCTCTGATGCTGCTTGGCCTGCTGTGTTCATCCATGTCTACACCTTGTTATCTCACTAGATTACATTTCTGCTTTGAATCAATGGCCAGTGAAATTTCACTGCAGGCATGTTCTTTATTTCTAGTGGCTCAAAAAGAAAAAAGGAAATTTGACCATGTGTTGGGATGAGTTTTTGATGTAGTGGGCCTGGAATTAGGTGGAAATTAGCAAACTTGATGGAGGACAGACATTTAGTTTGGAGCTGGAGATGATACCAGGTTTCATGTAATTTATTTCAGCCTGAGCAAGCAGCCATTCTAGAGGATGAAGTTTATGGTATGCATTGAAGTCAATTTCCACAAGTGTCCACAATATTCAGATGCAGGAAAATGGGACTTATCCATGACATCACTTAAATACTCTTTGCATGGCAGAAAGGATCATCCCAGCAAGCAGGCCCTAAGCTGATAATGAACAACATTATATCCTCTATTGTAGCATGGTCGTGGTCAAACAGAAACAGAACACGCTGTAATTTGTTCACTTAAAAGGATGAGCCCTCTCACTCACCCTTGGTTTTGTGAATAAAGAAGTAATTACCACCTTATTATTACTATAATCTAAAAAGATGACTTATTACAATTTAAAGTATCAAAATATGGTCACATTAGGTTTATTTGTTTCAGTGTGTTACTTAATTCATTAAGTCTAAATTTATGGAGTTTTCTGAAGTAATATGGATACTAAATTTCAAAGATTTGAGGAGAAAGTTGTCGAGAAATTGGATTTTGCAAAAATTGGAACACTGTTTAGGCGTAGAGCATGTTGCTGTACCTAACAGGACCAGCAAAAGGACTATACGCAGGCAGTAGCCAATGAAGTGCACAATAGTCATTTCCTCATCCTTCAAGTCATAATTTTCAACCATGCTACCATGCTGAATCAGACTACTGCCACTGTGGACATAGATCTCAGTGCTTGAAAGGGCTAGATAACTAATGTTGAGACACCATTGCAGCAGTATCATGGAAGACAAACTTGGGGCTTTTCAGCATGAAGCATTTGTGATCCCAACATTCCCAGTCTACCACTATGCTTGTTGTTCCAAGGCCAAATGACCCAGATCACTGCCATCCATGCCAAGTTGGAGGAGTCTGGAGCCGAGTTCTCAAAGCCTCGAGTTTTTGAGGTAATCCAGCAGTCTATGAACTGAAAGTCAGCAACTTCTCCTCCAAACATGACATTGTTGCTAGACTAAGGATTGCATTGGGGTGAATAACTCATTTTTGCTTTGTAAAGAGATAAATGTTGTGAAGGTTTTGGCAGTGACTTTTCTTTCTGGATGTTGACAATAGGATGCTGCGATTGGGAGGCAAAAATTAATGTGACAGAGGAGATGGGTTCCTGTTGGGTTGGGGAAATTGCTTGAATTGAAACAGAGCCTTACAATCCACTTTCTCAGTCCATTCAGTCAGACGTGATCCAGGATGCTTCTCTGCCCACTCTATCTCCCCATTCTAATTCCTTTCTAGACTCATAGAATCCGTACAGTGTGGATGCAGCCCGTTTGCCTCATCAAGTCCAACCGATCCTCCAAAGAGCAGCCCACCTAGACCTACACCCCTATCCTATCCCTGTAACCCTGCATTTCCCATGGCTAATTCACCTAACCTGCACATCCCTGGACACTATAGGGCAATTTAGTATGGCCAATCCACCTAACCTCTACATCTTTGTACTGTGCCAGGAAACCGGAGCACCTGGAGGAATCTCACACAGACACAGGGGAGAATGTGCAAACTCCACACAGAGTCGCCTAAGCGTGGAATCTAACCCGGGTCCCTGGCAGTGTGAGGCAGCAGTGCTAACCACTGAGCTACCATGCCACCCCATAGGTGCAGAGTTTTCCCTCTCTGCCATTGCCATTGTCATCTCTTGAAGGACCAAGAGGTCCTTCAACAACTGCCTGTGTAACTGGGTCTCGCTTTCTTCTTTGAATAGATTCAGCACTTAGTGAGATGCATCTTCAAAAGCCCAACTCTAAGCAAAAGTTACTGGAATAAGCCTCAACTGCAATTTGGATGGGTTCTTTAATTATTATATCCACAGCCTGATGCAGAAGAATATCTGTTCAAGATCATTTTAATATTCAATTACAAGCAACTTGGATTTAAGACAGACACCCACAGGCAGGGATAGGGAAAGAAATTCCTGAAAATGTCCCTAACCAAAGGAATGATTCATAAAGATTGATGCTACATGGTATAATAGGCTTACACTGGTAGACAGCAAAATGTAGAACAGAAAGAGTAAGAGAATGTTCATGATAGAAATTTAAATATACTTAAATGAGAATGTTAAGCATACATATAGAGGGTGGTTAGCTCAACTGGGAGCATGGTTCAGATTAACATCAAATAGTGCCAATTCTATTCCAATTTGGCACCCGAAATGTCCTGCCCCAAGCAATGACAAACCACCACTTGCAAAAAAACTGCCAAGAAAAATGGATCAGGATGAAACTTTGAGCCAAGGGCCTGCCTTCAGGCAAAGCAAACACAAAAGGATAAAAATGTGCATAATTCTCAGACACTCCACTGCTTGGTACTTACAATGGAAACCCCCTTCTCCCCAGTATGCTCCACTTGGTACATTTTAGCAAACTTGGAAATCAGAATTCAAATTGATTAGAGAACAAAATTCTCACATACTGAAGATTAATGTTTATAGGTGTACTACAGATACAAAACACACCTTAAGCAGCTCTTCAGACAGAGATTTCACAGTAGCTTCCAGTTTTTCCACTTGAACTTGTTTTTTTCCCCCCAGAGTTTTCTTCAAATGATACCTAAAACAATTATAAGCTGAAAAGTGATTTGTATTTTATTCTAGGCAAATTATGCTTAAATTTGTGTTAAATTGACTTAAAACATTACATATGGTCTTTTAGTTATATTCTCACAAAATCAGAGTGCTCCAGCACACCTCCAACAGTTTTCTTTGATCACAGCATATTTGGTGAGTAAGGCAATATCCATATCATATGGCACAGTTAGTTTTCATCATTTGATGACATTGCCTATTTTTGTAAACTAATTATGTTGGAACATTGCAAGATGGCTGTGTCTATCCCTTTCGTGATTTTAAATGTAGGACAGTTCATAAACTGGAGAAGTAGCAAATTTAATAGATCAAAGTTTGATTGTAAAGCACTGATGTTTTCACACCAACAAGTGCCACTTTGGATCCAAAATAGTATTTGCACACATCCAGTTGTAGCCATACTTAGTGCCATTTTGAGTCAATAAGGAGGGCACTAGGACAAAACCTTGGAACCACACTGAGTAGTCAAACTGTGAATCAGTCAATATGCTATGATGATTGGACTCAAAAGGTCATTAAATGTATGAATCATAATTGAGCAAGATCGTTGGGAGATAAATGATAGCAATGTGGTTCAGAGTGTATAAGGCTAGTCATTGAGCTTAACCATTCATGTGAGGCCACTAAACTTCTTGTGGCACTGCATCTAGGACCTTGGGGCTAGATTGCCAACATTGAATCTGAAACCCATGTGCCTTTGCAGTGACTGTCTATAGTGTCTCCTGGGCTCATCATGGGTCAAGCCCTCTTCTCCTTCCATCCTCGCTACAACTGAGGCCTCTAGTGCTATTGAGAGCCTATCTGCTGTGCTATTCCATTCTCAGGTTTTTCCTAAGCCAAACTCAAAGTTTAGAGTGACTTCCAGCATCTGCTCCACTTAGAATATACCTCTTCTTTAACAGTTGCAGGCGAGTTATAAAAAGCACCAAGACCCTCACAATTTTCCACCCCTTGCACTCATCTGTAGCCACTCGCCAGTACACTTAGCCCTGACTGCATGCTGTAAGCATGGAAACAAGAGGGCAACATTAAGCTTACATTGGAAGTAACAGGCAGATATTAATCAAGTAGTGCAATCACTGCATCCATTTTCACCCCCTACTTAATTTTACAGTCAATATCTCTAACTTAATCTATCAGGAGAACACTGGACAACTTAGACTTGGTGGTAGAAAGGCTTAAAATTTTGGTCGCATTAAAAACTTGTTTTATCTTTAATTTTAACAGCTGGGCATTAAAGAAAATATTAAAAAGTGTGGGCAAAAGTTTGACGTCTTCAATTTGTCACTGCCTACTTCCATGATTCTGGCCAATGTAAAACATTTTCTCATCAGTTTCAGAAATTACTGGACATTTAATGTGTTGTGGGCAGGCTAAATTGGCCAAGTCTGGGACTCCTACCACCCACTTGCAAAACCTGCCTCATGAGTTCCTGGCCATTCTGATTGGTCAACAGATCCCTTAGCAAAATCAAAAGTCAGTAGTGAGCCCTGCCAGGGGTGCAGGATAGAGCCCAAAGAGAAATATGGCTACTGCATCAAAAACAGCAGGGATATGTGACATCCAACTCATTTTACAATTGGATACTTACTATATTTTGCTTCTCTTGCATATAAATAAAATAGACTATTACATATACGTCTGACCAAGTGCACCTGAAGTGTATATCATTTGGAAGTGAACAAGTCATCGAGCATTGACGAACCCACATTGTTGTTTAATCCGACAAGATAAGGGTAATGACAACGTCTGTGCTGCGTTACCCTGTTCAATCGTCAGCAAGGATGCAAATTTCATCTACTGGAAAATATAGGTCTTACTTTTGGAAACTTCTTGTCTACTTCACTAAGAAAGTCTTTGTGCATTGTGAGGTAAGTAGTTCTAATACAAAAATGATTGCTGGAATGTGAGAAAAATGCATCCACCTTTTGTTGCCGAGTTGCTTCCAATACTTCCTAAGTTCTAGTAAGCAACTGGTTCTTGTCTTTGATCTCTTGCTTGAAAACAGCAACACGAGTTTGCAGCTTATTAACCAACTTGTCCTTTTCATGGCATTCTGTATCAACTATGGAGTTCTCCTGACGCAATGATTGGGCTTCTTGCTTTGCTTTGTAGCACTCCTATCAACAAAAATTGAAAGGAAAGTTTCTGGCAATTACTAAACTTCAATTTTTTGTTAAGAAAATTGGGAAGAACCCTTACATCTTCTGAGTCTGAAAGTTTTGCTTTCATTTCTTGGGTGACACATTCTGCTTTGTATTGCCTTTCAATAAGCTGTTGGTTTATAGTCTCTAGCTCTGCTAGGCTGTTCTGTAATTGCTGAAGGCTTCTCCTGTAATCGGATTCCAACTCCTTCCTCTGCTGTTCAAGTTGTTGCTGCCATTGCATCCGAGCCTAAATAAAAACTGAAGCAGTGCTTAAACAACATTCAGTAACTGAGTTTCATGGTCAAAGGAATATAAAACCTCTTGTTTTATACCTATTCTCTCATGAATTCTTTCCACAAAGCCATTTTAATTTGAAAGTTAGGAAGGAAGCTTATAATAAAGATAAAAGACACCAAATTATTATTCTTTTCTTATTTATCCTGTGCAATCGAACAGGATAATGCAATACAGAACTTGTCATTACCCTATCTCGTTAGTTTATACAATAGCATGGGCTCCTTAGTGCTCATTCGCTTGTTCACTTCAAAACGACACATACTTAGGCTGCACTTGATCAAATGTATGTATAATGGTCTATTTTATTTATTATTATTATTCTAATTCCCTCCATAGAGCTCTGAAATCTACAATCATCCATCTCATACAGCCTTGAGTCATCTCAAATATTTTGAATACACCATTTAATTATTTTGGAAAGATGTTCCAAGCATTCAGGCGATCCACCTTCTATTAGTTACTAAAAATGCATTTATGCTACAGGGAAGGGAAAATTCTTTGCTTATGCCAATATGGTTTCAAAAAAAAAAGTTGAATTTTAAAGCCAGAATTAGTTTAGCAGTCTTTGTTCACAATTAGAAGATAAATAATGTAGTTGAAAGTATGAGCCCAATGTTAACACATTCAAAACTAAGTTGTTTGCTGAAAGTAAAAATATACGGCCGATAAGGCAGTGATTCTGTTTGCTAATACTAAAAAATTAAAATGCCCTGTTGTAACTACTCTAACTTTTGCATCTATCTGTAATTTCCTGGCAAGGTTGTTCATCTGATCTTTCCCACTAGTTGATAACCTATAGAACAATCCAAGCATTGCAATTGCAATTGTACCCATTTTGTTCCTTAACTCTCGCTAGATAGGTTCTGTCCTTGCTTGCCCAGAAACACCTTCGCTGCAGCACTGCAAAGTTCACCTTAATCAATATTGCCAACTTCTCTCTTCCCTTCCTGTTCATTCTTCCCTAAAAACCCTAATTTGGGTAATACTTAATACAAAGTCTTGCCCTTGTAGGAGCCAGGTTTCTGATGTCACCATCACATATTTCAATTTGGTTCTCCATGCTTGCAACTCACCTACATTAAATACATACACATTAACTTTAACTTAGACTTTGCAGCCTACCCCTTACACTGAACTTTCTAATGCCATACTATTTCCTGCTGTAGTCATTATCCTTATTCTCTAATTCTACATACCTCAATATTCTTCAAATACAGTTAATAAGCACACCATTTGCCAACACCACAGAACAGGCACAGAAGACTCACCTTAGGTGCGCATGCTATCCCTCCTCTTTCCCAATTCTGTGCCACCTCCTCGTCAGCCATCTTCGTCCCGACACACGCCAATGCATCCCTTCACCATCATCCCCACATGCTACTCCTCTTCTTCCCAAATCCTCATCCCCAAGTGTTCCAACCCCTCTGCTCCCTTCACTCCCAGAAGTGCAGACTCCCAACCCCCTCTCTCTCAACTCCCCAAACTCGTCCCCATTCACACCCTCCTTCCTCTCAACTCCGCCTCCCCCCAACCCCTGGCACGTACACCCCTTTCCTTTCCTCTTCTGAGGCTCGTCTCTGCCCACGCCCCTCCTCCTGTGCCCCTGAAACTCTTCTCCTCTGAATCCCTGCTTTTTCTCCCTCTCCACTGCAACCCCCCCAATTGTTGTTGCACACATTGTTGCTCCCCCTCTTTAATCCTCTCCTCTTACCTCTTTGCGCCCATGTGTGCTTCCCCTCTTAGCACTCCCATGCATCAGCCCACATGCCATTTCGTCCCCCACCGACTCCCCACTCTGCACCCCTCTTGCACTCCCATTTCTCTGCAACACACCTTCCTCTGTAACTCCTCCCCTCACCAACCTCCTTTTAAACCCTTTCCCCCTCCCTTAGAGTTATTTTCAGGTCACTCATTTAATTCCTGGTGATCAGCTCAGGATTGGCAGAGAAAAAGTTTGAAACGATGCATTTACTGTCAGCCATTATCACATATGGATTGGAAGGATGAAAAGTGCTCTAGCAGAAATTTTCATGAGAAATTCTCTTTACTATTGCTGTGTTTTTTGTCACTTAATAAACAGAAGAGGTTGTGAAACATGGAGAGGAACAATAGAGCAATATACTGTCAAATAGAACTCTCAGTAGTTACTATTAAATATGCATTGCCAAATTGCACATTGTGTGATTATACTGAATTGTCTATATTTCACTTATAACTTTACTGAACTAAATTAGGCAAAACTGTGGAAATGAAGGAAATGATTGAAGCAAATAATTAAAGTAAACATTTTATAAAATATGACAAAAGACTTCGATATACCATCATTCACATATATAAATCAATCTGGTGTCTAAAATTACACCATTTTTCCAGTCCCAAAAATCATGTTTTTGAATATACTGTGTATAAGCTCACCTCCAACCTTAATGCAAAGCATGTTATATACACATTAGTAGTCAGCCTATTTTTTTAACGCATAAATGCATTTTCAACTACTTAAAAGTGGGTGCAAGCAATTGAGCAAGCAAGGCATGCTGCATTGCGAGGAATTAACGGTGTTTAATATATGCCGACACAGATCAGTCCCATCTGATCTAGCAGCGAGTATTAATTTTTCAACAAATGAAGTTTGAAACTGGTTACAAGCAATAAGTCAGAACATTGGATAATTCAAAATAGCTGCAGCAAGGGAATTCAGTCACTGAAAATCTATTCCAGAACAGGAGGGAGGGATTCAGCCTGAAGAAGATGCCAGTACCAAGTGTATGAACAAGAATGGGCCATGATCCTGATTTTACGAAGCATACATTGGAACAAAAATCATCAGAATGTCAATGTCACCTGAAAATGCAATGTGTGTACACGCATACACTTAAAACACCAAAGCAACCTCCGAGTCCAGCAAAGATTTCAATTTAACAGCTAGTTGGTATAGCTATTTTATGGAACAAATACGTCCAGTGTTGCAGAAGACCAAGACAGCTGGATCACCAAAAGATCTCAAAGCCAATATTACTAGCAATTCTTCATCATACAATGTCATAAACCTAAGTACCCATCACGTTGCATTAAAAACATGGATAAAATTCCCATTAATTTCAATATATCCAGCAACTGAACTGTAGAGCGCAAAAGTTCGAAAACAGTACATGTGGAAGCCATAGGAAGACAATCTTCACTGTTCCACACGTGCAGTCTGCATAACCATCAGAACAAAATTAAAAGCTTTGGTAATCTCAAAGCATGAAACCATGCAGAAAATGAAGTTCCACGGAAAAGTTGGATATCCATTACAATAGTAGAGTAGATGAGGATAGAGTGAAGTTATGGATCAGCGTGAAACACACATCCCAGTGAAATCAGGGACTCAAAGTCTGCAGTTCAACCTTGGGCATGTGCACTAACAAGCTATTCAAATATTACATTCATGCTAATAGGCGAGTGGTTGATAAAGAAAAAAAAGCCTTCAGAGTGCAAGTACTGACTTGCATGATGTATCATGTGGACTTAACGTCGACTCGCAGTATGTTATTAGTGTACAAACTGTCGGATTGTTCAGAAAGAAAGTCAATGGATAGAGAGCTGAAGAGAACATGGTGGGATGATTCTGAAACTGAAAATACCACGGCTGATTCAGAGTGAGATCCTTACGACAATGTCATAGTCCAATGATTAAGAACAAGTTCAATGAACTCATTGCATCAGGTGAAGATGTAGGCCCACACCTTCTGCTCCTTATTTCTGACCCAGACCAGAGAGTTACATTCTTACTTTCTACAATATTTTGGGTCTGACATCCAGTGCAGGATCCATCCCAACAAATGAAGTGCAGCAAACCATGCAGGCAGTGGAAGAGTGAGTCTCTGTGGAAGCCATGCTCCCCTTTCACAGCAATTACTTCCATATTCCAACAGGTTTATTGCAGTAAAGAAAAACTCATTGTGTAGCATGTAACATATTAACATGGATAGAAAACTAGCAGCCAATAGGAAGCACAGAGCATGCATAAATAAGTATTTGGCTGATCGATAAAATGTGGTGAGTGGAGTCCTGCAGGGATCTCTGCTAGGGTCTCAACCTTTTACAATTTACATCAATGAACTGAACGAGGGGAGTGAAGGCAAGACAGCTAAACTTGAAGACAAAATGAAGGCAAGTGTGAAAGGATGTTGTCAAGTCACAAGGAGGTTGCAGATAAATGTAGAAAATGGAGTGAGTAGGCAAACATCTGGCAGATGGAGTACAATGTGGGAATATATGGAATTGTTTACTTTGTTAGGAAGAATAAAAAAAGCAGAGCATTACTTAAATAGAGAATGTCTACAGAATTCCGAGGTGCAGAGGCATTTAGGCGTTCTAGAGTAGGAGTTAAAAAGTAAGAATGCAGAAAGAGCACAACATAAAGATGACTAAAGGGATGTTATCATTTATTACAAGAGGAATTGATAAAATTCTGGTCTCCTTGCTAATAGGAAGGATGTCGTGAAACTTGAAATGGTTCAGAAAAGATTTACAAGGATATTGCCAGGGTTGGAGGGTTTGATCTATAAGGAGCAGCTGAATAGACTGGGACTATTTTCCCTGGAGCATCAGAGACTGAGGAGTGACCTTATAGAGGTTTATAAAATCATGAGGGGCATGGATAGGGTAAATTGACAAGATCTTTCCCCAGGGTTTGGGAGTCCATAACTAGAGGGCATAGGTTTAAGGTGAGAGGGGAAAGATTTAAGAGAGACCCAAGAGGCAACATTTTCATGCAGAGGGTGGTGCATGTATGGAATGAGCTGCCAGAGGAAGTGATGCTACAATTACAACATTTAGAAGGCATCTAGATGGGTATATGAATAGGAAAGGTTTAGAGGGATATGGGCAGAATGCTGGCAAATGGGACTAGATTTATCTAGGCTATCTGGATGGCATGGACGAGTTGGACTAAAGGATCCATTTCCGTGCTGTACATCTTTTGTGTGTTACCCCATTCACAGAATCCCTACAGTGTGGAAACATGCTACTTGGCCCAACAAGTCCACACTAACCCTCTGAAGATCATCCCACCTAGACCCAATCCCCTATCCTTTCCCTGTAACCCTGCATCTCCCATGGCTAATACACCAAACCTAAACATCTCTGAACACTATGGGCAATTTAGCATGGCCAATTTGGCTAACCTGCACATCTTTGGACTGTGGGAGGAAATCGGCACACCCGACAGAAACCCATGCAAACACGGGGAGAATGTGCAAACTCCACACAGACAGTCCCCCAAGGGTGGAATCGAACCCGGGTTCCCAGTGCTGTGAGGCAGCAGTGCTAACCACAGGGACAGCATGCTGTCCCTATGACTCTTTAAATATATGGCTTTTATGTTTCAGTTATAGAGGGCATTAGTGGGACCATATCTCAAACATAGCGTGCAATTTTCGCTGCCTTTTTTATTGAAGGATACAAGTGCATTTCAGGCAGATCAAAGGAGACTAAATTTTACCTGGAATGAGTGACTTGTCTTACGAGGATAGGGTGGACAAGCTGGCCCTGATTCCAATGGAGTTTAAGACAGTGAGTGACAACTTAATAGAAGTTTATAATGTCCTGAATAGGCTTGGCAAGGTGGATCTAGAAAGGAGATTTCCTCTTGCAGATCAGTTGAGAGCTAGGGTGCACTGTTTTAAAATTAAGGGTTGCTTTTGTAGGACAAATGTTCTCTCGGATGATTGTGCTACTTTATTTCGGAAGCCGGTAGAGGTGAGATCATTGAATATTTTCAAGACAGAAGTGGATAGATTGTTGTTAGATGCAAAATCAGGTGTTTCAGAGGTAGAGTGTGGAATTTACAATACAAACAGATCAATCAGGATCTTATTGGTGCAACATGCTCGAGGCGCCAAATGGTCTACCGCTGCTCCTACTTTGCACATTCATAAGTAAAGATAACTTTAAAAAAAAAATCACAAAACCTCTGAAAAACTCAAAGAAGGTAAAATAATGAGGGGTTAGAGTGGCAGATAAGTGAGTGAGTGAGTGGGTATAGTGGCATATAGGCAAGGGGATGAGGGGTATGGAGTCAAGTTGGCTAGTGAGAAAATAGGGTACCAGGTGGAAGGAAGGTGAATGAGTGCTAGGACAAAGGGGTAAAAGGTGTCAGGTTAAGAGGGGGATGATAAGAAAGGGTAAGTCAGGTGTTGGGATGTGGTGCAGTATCGTTAGCTATTAGAGCAGGTTTTAATCCCTGTAGCCTTACTCCAGGTAAGTTGGAACCCTCCAATGTCTCAGACTGTAACTCCAGATTGGAGACACTATCAGACAGTTCCAAATGTAAGTAATTGCCCATCAAAAGTTTAAACTACGGGCAATGATCATGTAGTCAGTAAATCTCCAGCTATTTGGAGATCAGAAGATCTGGCCCAAGATTCTTTGTAGCATTAATGAATATGAATTCATGTTTTCCCACATTTTGAAGTGGCAACCACCAACAATGATTCACATTTTACACTCAATGTACAAGTCAAACCCCATCTTTGGGATGATTTTTGGAGGCTTCAACCATCAATATCTATAGTATATTAACAATATTAAGTGGAAATTTAGTAAGATTCTGAAAGCTTGATCACTAGGTCATACGTGAAATTTCAGCATACCTTTTGTGTACCAGTTAATTGCTTGGTCAGGTCATTTTTAGTTTTTTTAAGCTGTTGTTCCAGCAACAACTTTTCATCCTGAAAGAGGTGCAAATATCAGCAAATTGGGACATTGGCCACACTATAAATGTGTCACCATGCATCAAATTTCCTTTTAAAAAAAAAGCTCAACAGACTGAATATTGTGAAGAGACTCAATATTTTAAAGAGATGCATTTTATAGCACTGCACTAATCTTTTATATGTCTTTAGCAAACAAGTTAAAACGGCAAACAAACTGCAGTATAGTCTTCAATGGAATTTAAAAACAATTTGCGAAGACGCATATATTATTTTCATGGTATTGACAAAATGAGAAAGACCTTCCTGTAAGACTTTGCAACAATCAAGATCATATTTAAACAAAGCCCTCATAAAAGCGAAAAGCAGATTAAGGACAAATAAAAAGAACATCTGAAACACACAAATAATCAACAGGTTTTCATATGAAATCAAGAGTTAAAACTTTAAGAACTTGTTAAATAAATATAAAATTTAATTCTGTCATAATGCACAGGTCCAGACCTGAAACGTCAGCTTTCCTGCTCCTCTGATGCTGCCGGGCCTGTTGTGTTCTTCCAGCTCCACACCTTGTTATCACAGTTCAGTATAGCTTGGTCAAGAGAAATTAATGCTATTCCATTTACTCAAATTTTACACTTCCTAGTGCTCAGCATAGCTTATAATATTAATGACTCTCTGAATTCTTTCCACCAACTACAAGAAGCTAAGAGTGTGAAAGAACATGCTCACTCGCTTGGATGAAACAGTAAGCATGACATCAACCAGGGCAAGACAGCTGACATCTTCATTAACAGAAACATACACTCCCTCCATCACTGATGCAACATTGCTACAGTGCAAACCATCTACAAGATATGGTGCAGCAGCTGATTAAGGCTTCTTCAAAATCCCAAGATCTCTATCACCTAGAAGGATGCAGGCAGGTGATGCATGAAAACACCATCAACTGCAAGTTCCCCTCCATGTCAAACATGATCTAACCTGGGACGTACATCATTTGTCATTCATTGTAAGAGTATTGTGAGTGTAACTTCATTGTATGAACTGCACCAGTTCAAGAGGTCTAATGTGCAATTTGGGACAGGCAATTAATGCTGACCTTGCCAGTGACATTCACTTGAACGATCAAAACAGTATTATTTACATTATTATCCTTTCAAATGTGTAAAGTGAAGTAATGTTTAGGGATCTGACAGAAATATAAAAAACTAAGCTAACAGAAATTATAAATCCAGATCTAAATAGAAATTAAAATATAAATCCATAATTTTTATGTTGAACCACAAATTATAGACAGGGATCCAGTACTGGACTAGCAATCCAAAGACCTGGGTTAATCCACCAGAATGACAATTCAAGAATTTGAATCTGGTTTAAAACAAATAACAAGCTGGCATTAGTAAAAGCCACCATAAAACTGAATTGTCATATAAATCCAGTTAGTTCACCAATGTGCTCCAGGAATGAAAACTACTGTCCTTGCCTATTTTATGAATAAAGTCCATACCAACATGACAATTATCCTTCCTTCTGAAATGGCCTAGCAAGCTTTGTGATTAAATCGACTGATACAAAGAATGCAGCCTACTGCCAATCTGTCAGGGCATTAAATGGTCAATGAACACTACCTTTGCCTGTGAGAGACACATCTCAAGAATGAATATGAACAAAAGGTCATGGGGATAAGTCCAGAATTTCAATAAATGATTCTCATGTAAGTTATGAGTACTTGGAAAAGACTTCCAGTTATAGAACCTAAGATTCTGCAATTAATAGAGAAAACAGTCAAGATGCTGCGAAGGAGCACCATGGAAGGAGGAGCTGAAATGTCTAGATGAAATTCCTTGTTTATTCTTACCTTTGTGAAAAATATGCAGTACTACAGGACAAACACATACAAGTTTACCCTTATACATTTTAAACAGGCTGCTAAGTATTTCTTTATTTCCACATCAGTTCCATGTAGTAATTTTAAAGAAAGGTGGACCAAGTGTTTGAAAGCATTGATGTCCACAATGTTTAGATAGGCAGGTGTACAGTCAAATACAGGTGCTGAAGAAACTAACTGCAGCAGGAATCTGTAAGACACACAAGCTTATACTACATTTGAAAAAATTTAATTCATGAAGATGGCATATGATAACATATCATTTCAATACATCACACCTCAGTAATTTTGCATTGTTATCAATTCAAAATTGTAATCAAAAACTTGCACATCTCAGGAAGAGATCTGAAGATAGAACTTAATGAGATACCAGCGCAATTACTTTTCAGGCAATAATTTGTAGCTGATAAGAGAATTGGCTCAAGATCGTCGATAGCCAGGGATGGAAACCAAAAAAAAATGCTCCACATATTTTGTCATCAAATAGTTTAGACTTAGTGAACTTCTCTAAATGTAGAGACTTCACAAGAATTTAATTTCCCCTGGATCTGAATCATTATTCACAATGGGGTTTTTGAAATGACAAGACTTTTTGAATTTACTACTCAACTCCAGCAGATGGTTGCTGTGAAAGCACATTGTCCCTCCTGATCCCACAGCAAGAGAGAGAAGAAAGGAAATACAGAATTCAAGCTTAATTTCCAATACTTTTGTTGGAGGAACATTGACTTGAAGCATTAACTCTGTTTCGCTCTCCACAGATGCTGCCTAACCTGTTGTGTATTTGTAAAAGAATCGGCTTTTATTTTAGATATATCTGACGGCACATATATCTCTACTTTAAAAAAATAGTTTCCTCCTTTTCCTATTTGCTTATTGAATATTACTTCATTTTACTTACTCATATATATTGTTTATACATATTCATAGAGTAGGTCTTCATTAGTAATTCTTAGTGTTGCATTTCTTTTCCCGCCTCTTATCTTAAAGAAGCTGTGTCTTTCTCCACCAATTTTAATAATAATACATTTATGCATAAGCTGGTGAACATTCTTTCAGGCTAATTCTGGGTGTGAATGAAATTGTAGTGTAACATCAATCTTTTATCATTTGAAAAAAAAATCAAACCTTGCACCTATATGCATTTATGGAATGAATCAAAAATAGTAAAATATTCTGCACATTGCAAAACACTACTCACCTTGGAACATCTTTGCTCTCCTCTTGGATGCACTGCTGTAGAAGATCTATAAACTTTTGTGGGAATGCAGAAAAATCTATCAAGAGCCCTGCTGATGTTTTAAGCTGGGAATGGAGAGATCAAACATCACAATTGTTCAAATGAAGAATTTAATTGAGAACAAATTAGCTCAAATATTTACAACAGTGATAAATCTTGAACATTATAAAAGATGGAGTCATGAATTCACCTATTTTCTACAATTACATGACCTAACTCATACTACATTATTGGCCTGATGTCTACAAATATACTTCATCAGATCAAGTTATTTCAAGTTTCCTTTGCAGTTAGAAGACCTGAGCCTGGAGCATTCTTTGTTGGAAAAATATCCCCTAGGTGGGAAAATAATACACAATACTTTTGTTGAGCTTGAAGCAATCTTCATAAATCTGACTTTTCTCTGGAGGCAAAATTCAGGCATACAAACATACAAATTAGGAACAGAAGTTGGCCATTTGGCCCCTTCAACCTTCTCTGCCATTCAATAAGATCATGGCCAAACTATTAGCCTTTTGAATTCCATATTGCCATTTAGCCTGATAACTTCTGATTCCCTGATAACAGGAACTTGTCTCAATGACACCATCTTTACTGCTTTCTGAGACAAACAGTTCCAATGTCGCAAAACCCTCAGGGAAAAAGAAAAAATTTTTTTTAAAAGGACACAGATGAGAGGAAACACCTAATATCAAAACAGTGCCCCTTAGTTCTGGGTTCACCCATGAGAGGAACCATCCTTTTCCATGTCCGCTTTGTTAAGATTTGATATCTGTAAGAACCTGAACAATCAAGACACCCCTCATTCTTCTGAGCACAGTTGAAAAATAGCCCAATTTGTCCAAACATGCCTCATTCAAGATATCAATCTAATAAAGCTCTGAACCACTTCCAACGTACTTATATCCTTTCTCAAATAAGGAGACCAAAAACTGCACTGAGATGTGATCTCATCAACTCCCTGTATAACCAATACAGAACATCCTTATTTTTATGTTCAATTCCTCTTGTAGAAAAGGATAGCATTCTATTGGCCTTTTGTTACTTGTTCTACTGGCATACTAACTTTTTGTGACTCTTGCACTAAAGCACCTAAATCCCACTGCACCTTTGAATTCTGTAAACGTTCATATTTGAGTGATACTCTACTTGTTACATTCTGTCAATCACAAAAATACCAATTTATACAATTGTTTATAATGACTAGATGTTGGCTGAAGTTTAAGTAAATAGCTTGAAAAAAATTATAATTGTGGCAGTACTGAGAACTATACATTATGAACACACTGTTTGATGACACAGGAAGATACCAAACAAAAAGTAAATACTCATGACTGCTTAAGGAAAAAAACAATTATGAACGTAATAGCATGTTTCAGAATAACATCTACACATCGATATTAAATTTAAAAATTTCTAAAAACAGCACAGAAGTGTAAGGTTTTAGGGCTATTATGTCTATTTGACTGTGCCGTGACTAACCACAGTTTTTATTTCTAACTGGAATCTGAAAAAGTGCAAAAGTGCTTCCTCGTAGATCACTATAATTTGTGCAGAGCATTTTTCAAGACATTATGTTTTTAACTTGGCTATAATCTAATCTCAAACTATACTATATCAAAAGAACACCACCAAAAACAATAAACAAGCAGATCATTGCTTACCTCCGAAAATCTTCTTCCGTAACTATTAATTTATAAAGAAAAAATGGATCTGAATCAGCTGTTAATCAGACTACCAAATCCTGCAATTAAAAAATTAATTTGCTTAAGTTGATCCACTGGTTAGCAGTGCTAATGGTACAATTTATACACTCAAGTGGCAAAATTACCTACATTTACTCCGATTAGTACAAATCTGATCATGCATGTATTTGAAGGGGGTGTTACTGGACCCGAAACATTAACTCTGCTTTCTCGCCACAGATGCTGCCAGACCTGTAGCATTTCCCCAGCAAATTCTGTTTTTGTTTCTGATTTCCAGCATCTATAGTTCTTTGTTTTTTTTTATGTTATTTACATTTGTAGTTATGGGCCACATTAAAAAATAAAAATTAATAGTAAGTTGTCAAAACATTGGCCACTTATCACTCCAGTACTCCTTTTACTGATGTGAGGTTCAAACATGTCTACCAACCTATGGCACAGCACACAGGTGCTCACGCGTGAGTAACTCTATAATATGATACAAGTAGGGATGTAGGTATTGGATGGAGGCAAATAAATGGACTCAACTGTGACGTCCTCTTTTAGAAAAGTTTTTGTGACAGTTATTGTCAAATCTAATACATAAATATTGGTGATGGCCACCCTAGTTAGGAATCAATACCAGATAGCAAACCTTTTGGTAAGTATGGTTAGAAAGCAAACTGCAGTAATTAAGGAAATTTCAGATATCTGAATCATATTTTGTGGTATTTATAGATTTCATGTGGTTTAATTGGATTCATATAAATCATGATGATTAAGGGATGACATGGTGCTAACATCAGTAAGGGCAAAGATACTCTTTCAGAATGACGTGAAAAAAAGAGAGGTGTTTGAAACCAGGCTAGAGAGTTGTATTTGATAACTCATTATGTACTGATATAAATAAAAGAATGCTACAGTACATAAGATGTTCAAGAGCATTATTAAGAGATAAGGATCAAGAGATTCAGTATACGTGCAGATGATCCAGAACAGGATCTCTGTGTGCAAGTATTAGCTTAAGGGACAAGGTAAAGCATTTAACACACAAGAGGGGCCAATTTTTTAAAAAATTAAAAACACACTGACCTTTCTGTAAGCAGGATTAGATGCACAATGCAACTCAACAGTTACTCGAATACTTGTTTTCCTGCAAATACATTTTTTTAAAATAAATTGATGACACAGGAAGATACCAAACAAAAAGTAAATACTCATGACTGCTTAAGGAAAAAAACAATTATGAACGTAAAAACACTCCTTTTTTTGGAAAAGAAATCAATTTTTTTTGAGATCAACACATCTTAATGCTGATATACCTGCTGAAAGGAGGAAAAATCTCTTTAAGCAGAGGGTGATGATTCTGAGGAATTCTCTACCACAAAAGACTGTGGAGGCCAAGTTACTGAATATATCTAAGAAATAAATAGATAAGTAGATTGCTGGACACTGAAAGCATAAAACGCTCTGTCGAAGAGTGGGAATATGGCATTGAGACAGTCTACCAGATATGATAATATTGAATGGTAGAATAGACTCAATGAGCTGAACAGACTACTCCTGTTTCTATTTTCTATGTTCCACACTCCAGCTCCATGAGGCTGCCATTGCAATATAATTCATTTGTGACTATTAGGTTGTAACTAGTGTTTTTCCAATATTGGTTCCTCATTCCTCTCCCACACTAATCACCTTTGGACACCTTTGTCAAATTGCTGTTAAGAATCTACATGTGGAAAAGGAGACAAATCAGGCAGTCTTGAGGTCAACTTTAAAACAATAGTCTGAGGCAACAATCAGGGAGGGAAATGGAATTTAAGACAACTGCATGATTTTGTAGCAAGCACCGATGATAACAGCTTCAATCTTCCTGATGTTTTAACTGATGAAATTCTGGCTTCCACATGACTGAATGCAAGAAAATATGCTTTGTATCAGAGATTGTAATTAGATCAGGAGAAAGATGCTAGAGAGGTATATTTGGGTTTTATCAGCAAACATATAGAAGTTGACGTAATAGATTTTGGCAATTTCAGCAAACAGTATATGTTAAAAACTAAACGAAGATGAGGAAAGGGCTAAGGATAGACCCTTGGGAACCCCAAAGTTAATGGCATGGAAGTGCTACCAAACTGGTCCAGGATGAAAAGGCACTGAAGATGATGTGAGTAATCATTTGGAAAGCTACAGCAAGTCATGGTCAATGAGGCAGGACAAACCATCAACCACATAAGGTTACTAAATGATTTTTGATTCAGGAATTTTTGTACAATGGCAAGTGTAGGTCTAGGAAGCAACATGTCTTTGGAAAAGAGAGCAAGGTTGAAAAAAAAACACAATGGAACTGGAGTGTTTTTGAATGCAATGATAGCAACTTGAATGCTGTGCAATAGGTCACAGAGTGGAATAGAATATAATGAAATGTGTTGCTTGAGTAGTCTGAGCATCTTCCATATATTTTCCTTCCACTATTTCCTCCCCACAAATGCCTTGTATCCTTCATTGGAACAATGAGTGGGTGTTGCAAATAAAGCCACATATAAACACACGTGTACACTCACTGCCAGTGGAGTCAACTATATTGCCATTCAGGAACATTAACTCTAGACGAGCTGAAAGCTGACTGAACGCAGATATTTTTCAAACTTTCACCTTCGACGTCAAGGAAATATGATTTTACTTTTAATTTTCTTTCCCTTCAAAACTGTCAATAAAGAGCTGACTGAAGACTTGCATAGATGTTTTCTAAACCACCTTTTGGGAAGTATTATTACAAACCTCTGGGGCGGGTGTGCCCTTCTAAACCATTGCTCCTTAGGAAATTTATAGCAAATGCGTAACATCAGGTCACCCTTAACTATTCTACATTTCCAATCCAACAAGCAGCATTAACATTTTCTGTATATTAAGTAGGTGCAAAGTCAAACACATATAACAAGGCCATGTCTCTTAATACTTCCCTAGAAAGGTGTAAAAGGTAGCATTGGGTACAACCAAATAATCGATCCAGTCAGGGCGCTACAACCAATTTAAAGTGGTGAGTTGCATTTTTCAAGATAAACACTATTACACTCCCATGAAGATAGGGAATAGAGTGCAGACCCTACTTTAAGACACTATAATTACCAATATCCGGAACCTATAGATTCTGCGTTAACGATAAAAAAAAAGACAGATCACAAACCCAGTGGCTGTATTCGTTTTAACGGTATTACGCGTTATTAAAAAAAAACATTTTTGGCTATTGTAACTTGGATAAATGAACAGAAACCTCACCGACGCGAGGCAGACGACGTTTAAAGTGCCATTTAAACATGACATATAATATGGAACAACCTGGTCTCCAGAATTTAAAACAACCCAGCGGATTACCGGTCCCAACAAACGTGTTGATCCCTGGGTGGCAATCACGGATGGGGCTCCCGGCGCCCCAAGCCGGGCCGAGGAGCAACCACTTTACCTTTCCTCAGTCTTTGTAGCGGACAGCGACCCTCACAATCTCACCGAAGAGCTGCCGGCTCATGGCGGATTCACATTTCGAACTTGGCGCCTCAGTCTCGCGCACGGCCGTTACTGCTGAGGGCGGGGTCACCCTCTGACATTTGACTTCCACCCCCGCCGTGCTCCTCCGGCGAAGCTGGTCAAGGCCGGAGGGTAAAGTTGGGGTTATCTGGTCGTCATAATACGATAACCATTAATTTACTCGGTAACCCACCTTCGCGATCGTAGCGCGCTTTATTTCGCTGCGGCAACATACTGGAAAGCGGGAGACCGCCCCCACACAACTCTTCGTGTGCTTCTTTAAGAAATCGCCCGCTGCCAACATGGCCAACGAGAGGACTGCGGATGGCATTCAGGCGCCTCTGCCAGGGCGATGCGGGTACTTTGTGGAAAAGAAGAAGAGATATTGCAAAATGATTGTTGCAAAAGGGAAACGTCTTTGTGGGGAACATGCGAATACAGCATCAGACAGTGAGGTATGGCAATTCTTCCGTCAATAGAAAAGGGAAATGAACAGTTGCCCTCCATAGTCACTCTAGTATCTTAAAGACATTTATATTGCATTTATCTGGCGTTTTCACCATTGAGCATTTCAAAATCGTTCTGAAAATGTCGTATCAGACTCAACGTTAACTCTGTTTTGCTGTGCATAGATGTTGCCAGACCTGCTGAGTTTGTCCAGCATTTTCTGTTGTTATCACAAAGCCTTTAATACCCAACACATTCGAAATCGAGTCACTTGTAGGACGCGTTAGTTAATTTGCTGATAGCAAGCTTCCTTAAACAGCAGTGTGATTGTTATGTCTCCGTTTTTCTATAAATTGGACTTAAAATGCGGGAACTTAATCCAGTCTACTTGTTGGTACTCTGCTTATGACAAATAGACGTTGTCATGTATGTGGCAGTGCTGGGTATTTATTACACGAAACAAAGACTTCCTTTTTGTTTTGAATTATGATAGTGATAATGATAATTTTGATTTTTCTGATGTTGATTGTCAAGTAATGATAAAGATACCAAGGATAACTCCCCCTCTTGAAACACTATAGTAGTGTTTTGCAGCTTTTGCAGCCACTTGAGGAGCAGATGGGCCCTGGTTTATCCTTCCATCTAAAAGTTGGGCATCTCCAACACAGGCATTGTTGCACTATTACAGGTAGCTAAGTTGAATGGAAAGCTGGTTTGCGATGCAGAGTGATGCCAATGACATGGGCTGAATTGCTGCATCAGCTGAGGTTGCCATGAAGGACTTCCCTTCCCAACGTTTTCCTTCGCCTGAGTAATGGTAACCCACTGGCTAAAGAACCACCAGTCATTGCTCCCTATTGAGTGAGTAGCCCTATGATCGAGTAGGACTATGACTTTACCTTTACAATACAATGTAAATTTTTGACTTTTCAAGAAAATGTTTTCAAGCAGGAGTTACGTATAATTCTTAAATGGACCAAACAGCATGGCACAACAGCAGGAATAAAGTATTGAGTTGAATGATCATGATCATACTGAATGGCAGAGCAGGCTTAAAGGGCTAAATAGCCTACTTCTCCTTCTATTTTCTACGTTTCTGATTTTTGTACCAGAAAAGGACTTGAACTTGGAACCATGAGACTCAGAGGCACGAGTACTTCAAACTTAGCTTGGCTGACAAATTAAGCCTTTACAAAGGATCCACTGTAAACATTTATTTTGTCTGATATATTTGATAACCGAAGAAGCTTACAATAAATTACAAAGAGACAATCATAAAAACTTGCAGTACAATGCACTGCTTGTAAGAAATGTGATATGTAGACCATCAAAGTCTGTTGTGCTAATTAGTGAGATCTTGGCTGATCACCTACCTCAGCACTCTTTCCCAATCTGTGCCCTCATTCCTTAATTCATTTAGTACCCAATAATATATTAAATTTTCTTGAGTGTTATCAATGACTGGCCATCCTCCATTCTCTGGGGCAGATCAAACAAAAGGTTCAGGATGCCATAAAGTTCTAGATGGCTGACAATGCTGTTTTTGACTGTAATCTTGTATGTTTGTCATGTTCAAGTCAGCGTACAACTCCTTTTGAAATATTGGTAAACGTGAATAAGCTTGTTTTGTAAATTAACTCTAATTTGATAAGTGTGAGGTGTTTGATTTTGATAAGAATCAGGAGGCTATGTAGCCACT